GCATCAACATTCGCAAAGTTAAATTTACGGCGGCAATGAAATATGCACGATTCGTTGGAACGAGTTTTAAAAAAGCAAAATTTCTTTCAGATGCTTCGATTTCAGGTGAAAATACCTAATGACAAGTAAATAAGTCAGGCCTGAATTTGACTTTCAGAGTGCCATAAAACTTGAAACGTTGAAACATTGGCAAGTATTCAGTTTGTTCAACTCAAGCCACTTTGATCTTGCCGCATCAACTGCTGCCGTCCAAGGTTAAAGCCTTTACAATCCAAACGTCTCTTTTCGATCCGTATAAGAATTCTTCCTTTGACAACTTCCCATCGCGATTCTGAAAAATGACCAAACTCATCGTTAAGCATTCGTTTTTTACGATTAACTTGTAGCCGGTTCGCATGCTTCATCAATTGGCTTGCGCTGCTAGTTTTAAGGTATGACGCTCCTCAGAAAACAGTCAGTAGCCCTTCAAATAGGTAAGAAATGCATGCACCCCAACCCTTACCTCATGCCACCTGAGACGAAATCCGGCTACACTGAACGCAATGTTTTGAATTCCACTCACTATATCCATATACTGGAAGATTTTTTCCACCCTCTTTTCCGCTGTATCCTCGTCTTTGGGTAATTCAATCATATTTCCAAGCATGCTATATATAGCGTCAACAATTTTGATCATCTCTGACCTCGTTATGTATCCATCGTTGTCCAGATCATATAACGAAAATGCCCCTACAATCAAGAAGGCGCTTGATCAGCATATCAATGTACACCGTTAACCGGACAGTTTACATTCTAGTTTCTCGTCAAGACTTCCTCTCGACGTAATGGATAAAGCCCTGATGAACTCTTTGAAAGAAATAAGACCGTCCTAAAAATTTTATCAGACGGTTATTTGAATAACAATCGAATTAAAGCGCTACTTAACGTTGTTTCCGTCGAAAACGTTGAATACAAAGCCAGCGAATTGTGACGGATCACCAGTCGGAAAGAACTGCTGGTAAATAGATTGAAATTCCTAAAAGACTGTTCCAGAAACGACGAACTTTTTTACATTTACAGACACTACCTCCCTTTTCAAAAGTCCGGATGGGCAATCCTTGATGAAATCTTTATACCTAAAGTAGGTTGCAAATGCACTAAACGCCAGTACAGAAAGACGTGTAAAATACGTGATACACATTAATATTGTACTTTGAATAGTTTACTACCCAACAACTCAGCAGTATTAATAACATAACATAACGAAATAGCGTAATAACGAATGAATCCTAAAGAAAGAACGGAATTCACGGCGAATTGCGCCGCCCTCCTGCTCCTATTTTTCTAGGAGGTGTTTAAGCGGGCGATGGTTTCATCGATATTTGGGAGATCTGCAGCGATGGACACATCTCGTATCATTTTATTCGCTTGGGCAACTTCGAGCTCATCACGAATGATTATTCAGGAGCTGGTACTCGTTACATGCTATCACATAAATATCATCCTTGTATCGACGGGTATCGAAGGGTATTGAGTTATCGTATCGTGTTGAAGGGTATCGACTTATTGCCGTTTACTTTGACGTCTGCATCTGAAATGAACATACAGTGATTACATGCAAGCCCGGTGATCAAACTTCGACTACTTCATAACAATTCGGTATGGAGTTAAGATTTTGTAAGAGATTTTTCATCCTGAAAGAAAGTCACACTGCCTTTCTTAGATCTTGTAGTTGGCCATTTTGCGCCATCACCTTCCAAACAACTTTTACTTAGACTTTCACAGGGAGGTTCAGTAAGGCAATGTCATGATGATTCGTGCACTCCCAGCGATTTTATTTCTTGAATAGGCTAACTACCACCGTAGTTCTTCAATCTATAGGTGTCTTTCCGGCAGTAGTTGCAACTTGACATCTACCAATTAGCCATACCATCTCCTGTTCGACTTAACTTTGAACATATCGGGACGAATTTCATCGATTCCAGCGATTTGTCACTTTTCAAGCTTACTGCAGCTTCTGAGACTTCATTTACCGAGACTAATATCAGTTTTACCATGGTCTTCAAGCGAGTCTCCCTGCAATTGCTCAGGATTAAGAAGCTTCTAAAGGTACTCTGTCGGTCGCCGAAGTGCTTCCTCATTTTTTGCAAGAAGAGGCCCTTAAATGCCCTTCTGGACTGGTGGAATGCATTTCTTTCTATGTCATAGGCGGGGGGATGGTTGTCAGACCGCTTTCATGGCAGTCAAGAAATTTGACTCCAGCACTACACAGAAGTTTCCTCAAGGAGGGGCTTTCGCTTTAGCTGTCACTTTACGTTCTTTTTCGCACCGCATGCAATTTAGAGGTTCATTGCTATCCAGCAACTTCTTTTTCAATGTTCCTCTCGCTGACAGTCGTTTGAACTTCCGCGATCCATCAACAGGTTCGTTACTGACAGTAAAAAGTGCTTTAATCCGCAGTCTTCAGCATCAAACTTTAGGAAGCCACGTTAAACAGTTTTCACTCAATTTCTGGCTGTTATCAATCGGATTCTATCAAAGCGAGTTACGCTGTTGTTTGCTAGTCTCGTTTTGGCTTCCGTGAAAATAATTTTTTTGATTTGATTTTCTGGTTGCTTCTGACACCAGATCTTCACATGGTACTCCATTTCTTACAGCGCAGCGTGCCAACAACAAGGTGGTGATCGGCTGACAGCTCTGCACCTCTCTTAACTGGAACATTCATTGCAGAATGTCTCAAGTCAGACGACACGATTATCAAGTTGATCACCAACTTCTTGCAAAAGCTTCCCTGTATTATGTATGCTGAAGCATGTTTCGATGCTCGAAAATGGTGTTCATAATGAACAGTTCGCGCGAAAAAGCGCTAAGACTTTATGCAGTTATTGTTGAGATTGCTAGGGCAGTTATTTCCAATCACTCCTATCCACTTCTCAGTGCCTGCTCCGTCGTACTATCGAAACTGCTTATCGGAATAGTGGATTCCGTAATCTGTACCTCGTCTGTTTCATACAGGGAAAGTGCATATTGTCTTTCTGAATTAGACGCCGACCTATAATGAAGCCGTGATTTTTGCCTATTGCAACGCAAGTCACAGAATTGATACTCCTCCGGTGATAACCTTTATTCATGCTTTTCTCAGCAAGGTTGGATTCTACCGGAATGCCACCACCTGCCTGAACGTGAATCGTAGAGTTGAAACCTGCGCATGAAAGCTTTTCCTTGAACCGGTTCGGAATTTTAGAAGCATTGTGCTTCGTTGACGAGAGTCTAACTATACCCAGCTGGTACCTCGCAGCCTCACCAATTAGTTCCTGTTCTCACTCACTGAATGCGGATATGTTCAAACCTACGTATCTGAGTACCCACAGTCGGTAAGTGTAACTTTATCTGTGGACTCTCGCAGTCTGTCTCCTTCGTTCAGGTAGGACAGCGACTATGATGCAAATTTTTGCCTTCGCCTCATCTCCACACAGATCATCGGAAGGTTTCGGCGTTCTGTCACCCCTACCCAACTGCCGGAATGTATTAAATAGGTTCCTATCGTCGTTTTTGCGGCACCTGCTTCAGTTCTGCAAAAGCCTGCGTGGATTTTGGCGATTCTGGCGACGATGAAGTCAATCTAACGCTTGACAACGTCAACACAGTGATAGGCAGGTGGCTAATTTTCACGGAATACTTCTCCATGGTCCCCAATCATCCTTCTTTCTCTTCTGAACCTCGAACTAGCAATGGCAGAGTCAGACTGAATCACACAACACTAGTTGATGCACTGATTCTTCTAATTAACACATCCACACGTATTTGTTATATGCCTACTCTTCGGCCAATTCGTTATATTTGCTATTTCTCTATCTTCTAATATTTTAATTCAACGCGGCTGCTCTGATTGGGCTTACTAAAGACAAGTTCTTTAGAAAAATTAATACTCTAAGCATAATTATGGTAGAGCAGCCAAAAAGTCGTAGCATGCCGATAAGAAGTCATGTCAGTGGCGGCAACTGAAAATGAACTCGTATCGAAATCGTCATCGACTGACGATTCTCCTTCCACGGTTTTGCCAAGAAACAAAGACACAGAGCATCTGTGAAATTAGTTGCGAAATTGCCCAATTAGTTTACAAAATTTAAATTTGTTTAAACTTTAAAGTCAGCCTTTCGTAGAAGAACAATCAGCTAATGTACAAACCAACTTTGTTTATATAGCAAAATTCATATGCAATACATGACATCATGGCGTCCTTTCGTAACTGTTCACTCTCCCACGAAGATATTAAGAAAATCTCTATTATGGTAGTCACAACTGATTATATTCTTTTGTCCGCATCCCGATATTTTTTCCACTTTACTAGTAGTTGATGACCGGCTGCAAGTTGTCCGCAGTAGATTTCGCGGCCCTTCTGAACTTTAACACTGTGGTTTCGATATTAAAATGGATCAATACTCACTATGCTACATAAACAAAGTTGTTTGTACATCAGCTCGCTGTTCCTTCATGAAAGAGTGAGTTCAAAGTTTAAACGACTGAGATTTTATGAAATAATTGGGCAATTTCGCAAATAAATTGACAGACGCTTTGTGATTTTGCTTTTTTGCTGTTTTTGGGTGATATTAATATATAAAAAATTAACTTCTGATGATGGAGGAAATCTTAGGACCTTCGGAATTCATCAGTTTGACAGAAATTTCCCACTGTGCTCAAG